TATACACGTCTATGTTATGAAGTAGCCTTTTCTTTTTGAAAAATGCAATCGCGGGTCGCGGCCGCCACAAACGCAGATGCTAGCCAGTAGAAAAAAAGAGAAAACATACATTATTATTAATAATTTGAATAATTAGACTACCAGTGGGGAGAAGTAGGCCACCGTCGACCCAGTTCTCCCCACGTGGGGCAAAGTTCTCCCCAATTGTAGAAAAATAATCTTCAACACATTTCCATGCCAATTTAGTCATAGTACTTATTAAATCCTGACTAAAAGTAGATCTAGATCTAGATCTAGCCTACTTTTAAAACAAACCTCGGGGTAGTACAGTACTGTGTAGTCTATCATTCCGGAGTTTCCCCCCCTCAATATGGCGCTCTAGTGTGACACTGTGTACCCGCTTTTTTTTCTAGTTTTTTTGCATTTGTGAACCAGCGTCCCGAAGACATGCATTACATGCTTTATTCTTTTTTTTTCCTGTTCAATCTCTAGGGACAATGCTACGTATTAAGGAAGACCGGCATAGGTACAGCCTTACCTGATACAATGAAAGTTGCAATGACAGCTGTCAGAATTGGATTGCTGTTGAGGGAAGTCACATGCCTTTACGGCATTGCTCGCACTACCCTTCAACACAATGTGAAGAAAGCTCTTCAAGATGATGTTCACTTGTGTCCAAACTATCGGCACAGTCAAGTATCCACAGTAGAACAGGAGGCTGAATTGGCGCAGTACATGATGAAATGTGCCAAAATATTCCATAGTTTGACAACTGCACTGCAGAAAACTTCTATGAAGTCGCTGTTGCAAATCAGCTAAGACCTTTCGTACCGGTACCCATCTTCATGGGATGATGCAAAATGTGCCAGAAAGGAGTGGCACATGGGCTTTATTTGGAGACATCGCTGCAACTCAGAGTGCGACAACCAGAGGCCCTTATTGACAGGAGCCACAGCTTTCAACAGGCATTCCGTGGGTACATTTTTCAAGGCTCTTTGATCCTAGATAGTGACCTGGGTGTCTCTGGAGCTCAGATACTCAATCTTGACGAAACAGGAATCCCAACAGTTCACAAAGTCCCAAAAGTCATCAGACCTCGTCGTGGTACTAATAAGCAGTTGGACCAGATAACATCAGCAGAGCGTGGCGTGGTGTGTGAGTTCTCAATAAAAACCACCCAGTTTTATTAAGTTGGGGTTGTTGTCGAAGAAAGAGACGAAGAGGATGTTGGGGGTGATTTTTTCCCCCAAAAAAGGGCAAAGAGAGTCCACACTTTGTAATACCAGCAGTGGAAGACATTTCCTCAGTCCATATTGATTCCATAATGACTATTTCACCCCCACCCACATTCAGAATTCAGAGGCACTATTGTAAGAACCATAGAGGTGACATCTGTTTCCAAGTTGACTCTGTACACTTTGGTGGTCTTAATTTGCGCTAAATTCCATATATTATGCGTCCTTCTGAGGAGTCTATTATTGTTTGCTTTTTTTGGAGTTTCGGCAACCCTGGTAACAGATGTCACCTATGGCCCACTTCTCACCAGGGGGCCCATCCATGGCCCACTTCTCACCACATGTTGATTTCAGCACCCTATAAAACCATTTTCATTCCATCTCTGTTGTACTGCTTATAACTGGTTTTTAAACACAATAAATTTTGCTTGGATTGATATAAAGCATTTTGCCCTTTGCTATTTCATTTTTGAGTTGCATTGCATTTCGTTTTGTTTTTTTAATCCTCACACGGTGGCCCACCCCTATTCATTCCAAGCTGGATTTTCTTCAGGTGGCAGAATTATTAGGTACAAGGCCAGGGGCTTTCGCCCGCTCAAGAACTTCAGTGTCTGGGATCTTATCCCTCTGGTGAATCCCCAGTACGTATTCTTCTCAGACAGGAGAGGTGAAACCTGTTGAGCTCGTTAACATGTGTTTTGTACGCTGCCCAGGAATCATCTTCACTTAAAAGGGTTGGTAATATGAAAACACTACATTCACACAGAGTTTAGACTCTGTGCGTGTACCAGAGACAGCCCAAACTCTATAATTTCTAAGTCAGCTAAATCCAGAGCTTGTTTTGTTTATCATGGAATTAGCTACTTCAGCATCAATCTTGACATTAGAAGAAAGGTTGCTGTTAAGATTAAGAATCACACTGGTGAAAGAGGACTGTTTCAAGTGGGAAAGAGTTGCACACTCAGACTCTCTCTTTGTTTCAGGATGCAGAGGTCTGAATTAAGCAAGGCATCAGTTCGAGACAAACTGACATACACAAGGATGAAGGAGGCAAAAAAATTTGGATGAAAAATTCGCCTTCTCAATGCAACTGATAATGCTGCTTTTCTGAGTACAAAAAAAAAGTCACTTTTACATTGTAAATGGAGCTTTGATCACTAAAATCCCTTGAAAAAAGTGAACGTTATATAAGTTTTTACATATTATGGCATTTAAAGAGTAAAAATACTATAGGACTCGAGACTTCAGAAAGTGAACTTTAGTCAAGAGTACATTTAAGTCGGGCGCATTTTACAGAGGTCTAGCTGTATATAAAGTGAATTACAATTGTTGTGAAAGTTTGCAAAGAAGAGCAATAATTAATTAATCTTTAATAACTGAATGGGTTACCTTATCAATACAACTATAACAGTTGGCCGATCGCTTTTGGATAATCTATCTGTATAGGTCTTTTAAAAAAGCGCATATGCCTACTGTTTTAAGCACATCATACAAATATGATGTGATTTTTCTATTAAAATGGAAAACAAGGGCTATAATACTGGTTTGATACAGAGCATCAATTTTTGGGATAAAAGGTAAGATGTTTTAAGGTTCTCCAGTTCAAGAATAACCTTTTCATAACACAAGTAAATTTTTTCAAAGAGAACTAAGCTGTGCTTTGCAGTCAACGATTCCGAAAAAACATCTTCACTAATGACTGAGGTGTTCAGGCATTTTGACAAAGGCTCTATATATGAGTCAGGAAAGTGGTGTGGTAAACAGTAGCCCTAGTTATGATTGGAGTGAAGAGTGAAATAAAATAATTATATTTGCCTTTCATCCAGATGCAGAAGTCTTTTGAATGACTTTAATAAATGAAGGCAGTGAAATTGCATGGGTACAATTCTTGCAGTGCTCTCTGCTTAAGTACCTAATAGTGAGCTCTGCCTCCATGGTTCTCTGTTTGATAGTCGTAGCTGCAAATGGTACTACACAAAACAAATAAAACAATTTAAGAGGCAAGCTGTTTGACTCCGTTTGTCAGGATCAACCTGCACTGAGTAGGATTCTAGCTGGGGTTCCATTCCAGGGGTGAGGAAATTATTCTATTGAGTATCTCTGTCTGTCTGCCAAGATGTTATATATCCCATTCAGACCAGGTTGGCCTTGAAAGGGAAGCCCTACTCATAAATTATCTAAATTGGGGCAATGGGGGTGTAGTAATTTACAATACTTTTTTTCAACACATTACATATATGTAGAACAGACTAGGTGCTGTCCGTTCAACTGTAGACAAACATTTGTCCTTTTTTTTTCTGCGTCATTTTTTCCATGAGTCCTGCATGCAAATTGCCAACCAAAACAAAAAAGTCCTGGTTTATTCAAAGCCCTGACTTAGAATTTGGTATTTCCCACAGTCAACTCATTTCAGCAATGTCTAGGTTAACTGTTATTATTGAAAGACTTGCTGAATGGCATGATAGGGGCTTAAAGCCCCAGGAAACGGTGTAAAGTCAGAGAGGCAGGACTTTCCCAGACTGAATGTCCATTTTTGATAGGACAACGCTGAGTGGACCATCCTTGTCCAAAATACATCGGAAGGAGATTATATTAAACCAAGGTCATCCACACCATAGACAAGCATGGCACCAGTAATAAGCTATCAGTGAGCCCCTGGAAGACCATTGAGAGAAAAAAACCCAACTAAGCATGGTTTAGTCGTCTTTGTATGCTTCCATCATGAGCTCTGATCAACCCCTGCACTTCCCTCTCTTGGGACAGTTCTCCTTTCTACACCATCAAACAACTGCCATTCCAAAGACAGACAGTGACCCTTGTGAGATCTCTCTTGATGCCACTAACCAGTCTTTTGTAAATGTTTGCTTCTGAATAATACTCGACCTGTCACTTCTCACTAATGGGATTTCCAGCGTGAGCCTGCCAGGGATATAAATTATACAGCCTAGCATGCACATGGTTAATATTAATATGCTCAGAAAAACATGCATATGGCATAGAAAAACGCACATCATGAAACACTCAAATAATGAACAGATTTGCATGTCCCAAACTTTTTTCTTATACATTATACTATTCTTTGTATTAAAACATGCTCATAGCGATATTCGTATAACATAAGGATGTCTGCGCCCCGCTGATTTCCCTGTGTGTTTGCTCGACTGTAGACTTCTGTCACACCAACAAAGCGCGTATCTCCCCTGCTCGTAGGGAACACTCACTCATTACACTACAACCCCTCAGGCCAATGGGTGGCATCTTTTCCTCACGCCTGAGACAGTCTCCTTCAAACCTTTGAGCCCTGGGCTCTTGATCCTAATTTAACCCAAATCCTGGCCTCTTGAGCTTTCGGGTTCAATGAGAGAGCGCTTCATCATTAAAAAAACTCAGTCTACCGGCACAAAAAACAATGCGTTCAAAACATAAGTGAAAGGGCGCAGACATGTTCATATCCCCGTACTAGCATATTGACAGAAACTAGCGTTTGGACTGATAGAAACTTTCTGCCTTTTTCTGCCTCATTATTCAGAGCTCTTTCCTCACACTGGTGAACTGGTGCTGCGGACTATTGTTGCTGAAGCTCACCACCGGTGTACCCGTGCTACGGGCTCAAAGGGTTAAGCTCTCCTCTGTACCGGTGTCTTGCAAGAGGGTCTTTTCTTGAGACCACCCCCCCACCCCCCAAAAAAAAAGTAAACCCTTAAAATAGCCCACATCCTCACAGACACTCTGCTTTCATGAAATGAACAACTTGAAACACAACTATTTCATATCAACACAGTCTTCATTTTAGCATAATATATATCAAAATGTTTCCCACAATGCAATTTGATTCCTAAATTCAAAAGAGTAACAAGTTTGCTTTGTTCGTCACATAGGCTAAGGGAAAATACGTCATATTTCCCAAAAGAAAAAGAAAAGTATCCACACAAATGATATTGATGACAGCTTGAATCATCAAAAGGAATGGCAAAAAACAAATGTCTGGAGTTCCTGAGACTGAGACCCATCAGTGTGTCTGACTTCGCAGCTTTTCAAAATTTCAATCGCAATAAATCTTTTGGACGGAATTGGAAAGGCGATATGGAAGAATGCTGTAGTCAAAATCACAACCTGCATGGGAAGAGAAAAAAAAAATGTACTGATTTACTGAACAGATTGTGCCGTAGTAGATTATAGTAACACACATATAAGGCACTATACAATCAAACCCTGTTACACTGCCTACTTTGGGACGAGTATGAAGTTGGAGGTACAGCGGACCTGGTGGTATAACAGGATAGCACTGACTGCCATCTTGACTAGTGGTAGGCTAGAAGAGCCCAGAGACAAACTGTGGCCAGTCTTGCCTCATCTAGCTGTCTTTCACTATGGATGTGCATAGGGAATAAATAAGCATCAACCAAAAATATACAGCTCCAGCTTAACTTTACGTAAATTCAAATTCAAACAAGCTCGGCTATATATGTGTCAAGGACCCTGTAGACGTACTTTTTGGGGTTTTTTTACCAAATACTCGTCGGTCCTCAGGTAACCTTAGACCTGTCATATGTAAACTTGAGCATGAGTACTCACATTATAAAAGCCTCATGGGCGCCTGCCATCCTTTTGGTCATCGGACTGATATCTGGAGACACCAGATATTTCGCCAGCAGGCAGAGGTGATACACTTTCTCTAGGCGACTTAAAAATTTAATTGCTCTTTAAAAAAAATATTAGCTAAATTGCCTGAATATAATAGCAAAATCAGGAGCAAATCAACCACAAATGCTAGAAATAGACCAAGCTCGCAGAGACATGTGTGGGAAAGAGATTATCAGGCAGCCACTGAGTTGTTGCTTTGTGCCGTGTGTAGTGTGCAGCGTGCACCTCTGGCGGTCCCGCAGGTCAAATTTACATTGGTTTAATAAGGACCATACAATACAAGGCAGACAGTTGGCAGATGGTGGATGGTGGTGTAAAGGTGTAAATAGCATGTTTTTATAGTACAGGTGTTCCTTTGCATACATTGGCAAAACTTGGTTGTAAGCGTGGCTGGCAGTATAATGGGTGACGGTATATCGAGGTTTGCCTGTATTTGGAAATAATACTACAAAGTATTGTATATATAATGTATTCTGTATTTTGAAGGTTGTATTCTCTCTGAGATATTCAGGTTGCATTCTCTCTGAGATTATATTCATTTTAACATTCAAGACCAGACCATCAAGGCCAAAGAAAAATAACAAACAGCATAGCAAATAGATCTGTGAAAACCAAATACAGCGCCAAGGGGTGGATGTCAACAGAGAAGTCCTTACAGGGAATCAGATTTCAACAGCACAAAGTCTGCTTCGACTATCAAGGCACCCCGGAAATAGCGGAAGAAGTAGAGGAAAAATGACGTTTGTAAGGATTAGGAAAGAAAAAGCAGCAGTTCCCTGTTGCAGGTCAGGCACTGTTATGAGCATGACATTGATGAATCAGCCCATTTACAATTACAATTCTATTGTGCATAAGAACTCCAGATGTTAATGTTCCCCCTTTGGGAATGGCCTAAAGACACTTCAGTCTGTGGCACTGCCCCAGGGGGGTGAAAAGTCAGCTTTCTAAAGACTGCACAGATTGTTTTTAACTCTTTAAGCCCGCAGTTTTTCAGACCGTTTCCTGTTGTTTTTTTCTACAGTCACCTAAACCTGGTGCACTATGTCTAATTATAACCCCAAAAGCTTGCCTCCAACTTCTAAATAGCGGAAACAAAGGCTTAATCATTACTAAAAAACTTGGTAGGGGAATAGTTTTTAAAAAAAGCGAAAACTACCACTAAATAAAACGAAACAGTTGTCACTAGTACTGGATGCTCCCAGCATCTGATGGGGTTCAAACAGTTAAGATGTTTTGATTTTTAAAAATCAAAATCTTGAATATGGTACCTCAAATATAGTTCTAAGCATAGCAGAGTGACATACAGTAAAGGGATCACAGGAGCAAGCTGTAAGACATTAGACAAATGCTTAAAGGTGTGATGGGACTTTATATATCAGGCTGCAAAAATATATAGGCCCTACATGAAATAGACCAATGCATTTTCTCTTACCAGATGCAGCAAATTCACCAAGCTACACTAAAGGACTACGCCGTTTCGCCTTCAGGGGTGATTGGGGGTTTGTAGAATGGATCTTTGAGCATCATTTTTTCACTCAACTTTGCCATCACCTCATTTTCTGGACGGACAGAGTTTTTCTGTGAAAAAAGCAAGACACAGAGTAATAGTATAGAACCAAAGACATCACAAATGAGCGTCTCGGGACGTCAGCATATGTGGACAAAATACAGTAGTCTCCATTTAAGATCCCATCTCTTACAATCCTGGTTCATTTAAGATCCTGCTGTATTGAGAAAATGTGAGGCTTCGTGGAGAAATCAGGCTCTCGTCAAAATATGAAATCCAAAAAAAAACCCAGTATATCCGGTAGGCTTTATTTTTCTTCCCTTTTGGCAATTTTGATCTAATTTTTATTTTTTTAGCTCAACACTTTTTATGTTCATTTTAAAACACATTGCTGTGTGGATTTTACTAAAAAACGTTGATTAAGGCAGAAACATGTAAATTTACAGTTTCCAAGGACTCTCAAGCTTCGGAAGTAAAAAACTTTGGCAGCCATTTTTCGCTAATTTTACTTCTGATACCAGGTAACCCCCCCACCCCTTTCAACCCAAAGTATCTTGACTTCTATTGAAGACAGATTGGTAATTTTTTAATTGAAATAAGACAAATGAACAAGCTTAAATATGATACTAATAACTCCATAGTCCAAAAATTGATGAGTGCCTGATTCCACCGAGCCGTGACATAAATAGAATTTTCATTACTTAAAAGTCACTCCTAGGATTCTGCTCTGAACGACCACATTTTGCTAAGATCCCATGTTTTAGATCATAATTTACTGCACAAAAACACAGGTGACACAAGTGAGGGCAGCTGATCAACCAAGCAGCAAAAATTAGCAATTATTACACTGCCCATTGAGTCACAGATCATGCACTCTCATGATCTGAATGTGTTCTCATCTCTGTAGTGAATCTTGATGAGTGAGTACAGTCCGTGCCGGCTTTAAGCAAGCCGGCTTAAAGCACGTTTCGGACTCAAGCACGCTAAGCGGCTCTTACCGAATTTTTGCTACATAAATTACACGCCTTTAAGCACGGTAACTTCGGCTTCAAGCACGCTTCATTAATCATTTACAAGACAGTCAATATTTTCATGATGACCCATCGAAGTTCGAACACAGTCTACACCGCAGCAGTGGAGTGTGTCAAGAGAAACACAAAGAACGCAAGTGATGGACACACACACTCACACGGGCGGAGAAGAAGGCAGATGCACACAGCCGCGCGCATGGACATAGGATCTAGCCTAGGCCTAGGGCAAAGCTACACACGACCCAAAAAAATACAAAGAGAGTCGGGGAGACGAGAAAGGGAGGCTGGCTGCGATTTCACCTTTGACCCTCGCTATCCATTAATCCTGATTGTGTATCACGCGCGAGGTGGGATGAAGGCGGTGGTATGAGTGGCACAGCGGGCAGTGGTACGCACAGGCAGTGTGTAGGCCTAGTGTGCTGTATCGTGACTGGCCGTCTAAATTAAGTTTTCATTTCCCATTCGACCAAAAAACAAAAACAAACAAGCGAACAAAAACTACCATGGTGGGTAAAAATAAGAGTGCACACTTTTGTGGGACCGTTATAGGCCTACTTACAAATAAAGGGAAATAGCACGGGAAATTTTCTACATGAAAATCCCTGGATTTTGTCTACTTCGCACTGAAGCACGCTTCGGCTTTAAGCACGCTTAAGCTTTCTCCCGACAACCGTGCTTAAAGCCGGCATGGACTGTACAATATTTGCCCCATAATCTAGGTATATGAGCTCATTGACACATTTGTTTTCCTCAAACACTGCACTCGCATTTGAGCCCTCTGCCAGAACTTACATTACAAGCTGGGTGGGTAAGACATACAAGGCCACATCAGGCAGGATCACATCGAGCTGTGAATTCATCCGTGTTTTTGTTTTCCTTACTGTCGCAATTGCCTGTGATTTCTATGCCCAAATTTACTATACAGACTGGACTTTTAATTGAAGCAGTCACTATACAACGATGTGTTACGACATGAATAGGGAACTCCGTCAGAGATGGAAAGCTATAAATTTTAGACAGGTTAAGAGGAGGAGCAATGGGATGGACATAGATCTCAAGACTAACAATTGGATGATTGAAAATGGCATGTCAGTTCATTTCAAAGAAAGGGGAGAAAATTGTATTGATTGTAAGCCTGATCAGTCATCCTCTGATGCTTCAGCTAAGATCTCATTTGCCTAAGACTTTGAATTTTCCTTGCTTCCAAGCACTAGGATCTTAAAAGGTGACTACTGTTTTTCCTTTACAAAACATGAAAACTGTGCAAAATGGCAAACCGTAGTGGAACAAGCCAACTCACTTCAGCAAAAAGTTTTTAAAAGCTCAGTATCTGAATTTCAAAAACCCTCAACTTTAAATTCAAATAAAGCCATAAAAAAACAATAGCGAGATGAGCAGAGCTGCAAATCACAAGCACTGATATGTCAGGGTTTGATAGTCAAGAGGTAAGGTGCTAGCCTCTCAAGTCCAAGAACCCTGTTTGATTTCAAGTTCCTGCAGGCGTGTTCAAAGAGTAATTTTGGAATTACTCTCACAGATGTTTACATTTGCTTTCTGGTCAGCCGGAACAGAAAATCTTTTCTGATACTGATGAAAGAATTTGGTAGTTGCAGTAGAAAAAATAATGCTTGTTAACCCTATCCGTACGTCGTGTTTTACTATTGTACCCATACAACGTGGGGAAGGAACTCTGTGCCACCACTTTCCAAAGAGGAAATTTAATTGTTAATCCGATTCGTACGCTTTTCATAGCAGTCTGTCAAAATGATTTTTCGAGAAAAACTGAAAGTTTCAAAGAGATCTTTGTACTACAAGTATTCTAAAATGTGAAGAATACAACCCCGGGGGTACATAATGACCCTAGAGCCTACAGATAGGGTTAAGACCAAATGCAAAGAAACAATTATCAACTAGTCCCTTACAAAAACTGAAAAAGTATAGATCACAATACATACATGATTTGTGAGACCTAAAAATAACACATGGTTTCCTGAAAGGAAAGGATACTACATTCTACTTTTAAAAATTAGGCACTGTGGGCTAACTCTCTACGTCTCAATCTATCTGTAGGTGGTTTGTATGTTTGTGCTGTGTGTATTGTGAAGTGATCAATCTTGTTTTGGAAGTGAGAGAATAAAGCGTCTATAGCTGCATTGGGATGGACATTTTACTAAATAAACTTTATGGTCATATTCATTATATCAGCCATTGAGACTTGTCAGAGGGAGAGAAAGAAGAAGAAAAAGGAGGAGGAGGAGGAGGAGGAGGAGGAAGAGAAGAAGAAAAAGAAGATGAAGATAAAAAAGGAGGAGGAAGAGGACGAGGAAGAGGAGAAGAACTCACGTTGATGACCAGCCTCATGAGTCCAGTGCCCCCGCTGCGGTTGCCGGAGGTCAGAGTGGTCTGGTACTGGATGGCCTTCAGCAGAGAGGACATTCCAGTCTCACTAATGTTGTTACCTGAAAAAAAATCACTGGTAATATAAAATCTACTTCTCAAACTTGCATCTTTTCAGAAGATAACAAATATGTCCATTACAGCAAGAAAATTTGCATAATTTACCTCATGTGCTGAAATTCAGCATCATACATAATTGGTGCTGCTACTATTAGAATTTACTCAAACCTATCTTGTTTTAGTTGTAGTGTAGTAAGGTTTTACGGTGCTCGCAACTGCATAAGGTCATATAAGCACCAAGGGATGGATGTCAACAGAGAAGTCCAAACGGGGAATCAAGCTTACTCTGCTCACCTCTCTAGCCTCAACAGCACAAAGTCTGCTTTGACTATCAAGGCACCCCGGAAATAGCAGTTCACGAGAGAGTGACAAACATACAAAAGAAGTAGAGGAAAAATGACTATAGTAAGGATGAGGAAAGAAAAAGCAGCAGGTCCCCCTATGTTGTACCGGCACAGTACGAGCATGACATTGATAAATCAGTCCATTTACAATTCTACTGTGTCTAAGAACATGTTAATATCCCCCCTTTGGGAATGGCCTAAAGACAACTTCAGTCAGTAGCACTGCCCTGGTCCTGGTGGGGGGGGGGGGAGACCTATCTTGTGACACATCTCAATCTGCTGACAATGCTGAGATTACTTTTATCGAAAATATCTCTTTTGACTTTTGACAGTATGGTGGTGCTATTTCAGGGCAATGAGATATTCTTTTATTTCCTGGTCCTAGCACACTTTTACCTGAATGAATCTTGCTTCCTATTCTATATTAGTATGCTTCAATTCAATTCAATCGGTTATGGATTTTCTTCCATTTATTTTCATGTAAATTTCAACAGAAAGCACCGCTTAGGTTACATCAACACTAAATATACTGGTGAAAGTTGGACGGCTTGCAACAGGGCCAAATATACAGAAAAAGCAAGAAAAGACAATCATTCGCTAAACTATTGGTTACAAATTAGGAAAAAAAAGGTTTCCTCATGAAATGTGATAGTAGACCATATTATCAAATTCCCACACATTCTGCACTGATAAATCGACAGCTCAGTATTCAGTGTAAGAACCTGTTATACATCATGTTTCAAAATGGCGTTTGGCAGAGTCTTACACTTAACACTTAAGATGAGCTAATATAATAGTAATAGGGTGACAATGCTCTTATGCTTTTACTTGTTGCCTTGAGGGAGGGAGTTAAGGAGGATAGGAGAAGGGATGGGGGGGGGGAGGGGATACCAAGTCATGAGGCCAGTCAGTTCCATAATTCAATGATCCATCAGTGAAAATCCATAGTGTGAATCATTCTAAGGTGGGCTCATAACAATTTCTATGCTTACTGCTATCTGTGTAGAAGGGTAAAGGACTTCAACAGGACACTATTCACACTTTTCTGTAACTCGCTGCCTAATGTAATGAAATGCAACAGCTGTTTTGAGTGACATGCTCAAAATGAACAGGATGGGAGAAAAAAAAATGGATAATTTAGATGTGTGAGCTAATGCGAATTGAAGCATTGACTACATTGTGGGAATGACCAAGTGGTCACTTATGTATACTTATGGGTTGCATGCCAAAATGATTTCCTATATGAGCAATTATGACTCAAATGTTCCAAGAAAAAAGTATTTAAAATATCAGCTACAAGTGTGGCACTGTATCCTCAATTCAAAATAGTAATTTTGCATCTAATTCTTTCCCCGGTATTTACTTAGAAAGAAACTACATATATATATTCTTTCCGAAAGACAAATTCTTTATTTCCTGCGATGAATTTCACAAGCACTAAAGTACCTTGACTTTTTTAATTACAAGAGGAAAAACATTTATGCTAAAACATTCTTTGTTCTACATGTACACGATATCTGAATTTAGCCTTACGTGCAAGATTTAGATTGATGAGAGTTCGATTTCCTGCAATCCACAATTGCCCGTCCATGTAATCAGCGACTTCTAACAGCGGGTTGATGAGGTCTTGGGAATCCATATTCTGAGGCAAATAAGAATATAAACAGACAATATAAACTTCTAAAATAACAGGATAGTTCGCACTGATCGGGATAATTTACTACTTGTAATTTTTTCTTTAGTCACAAATGTTACGGAATAGCTCTTCCACAGCTCACATATTATAAGAGTGCATGAACAAACAGTATGACTAAAGAGGAAGAAAGGAAGTGTATCCCTGTAGAACAGTTATTTCTTATTCATTATCAAAGTCCTTGTGTTGAATGTTAGCCTACTAATGCCAGTTAGCATAATCTTGAGATCTTTTTTTACTCGTGATTCCATATGTACAGTGAACTATGAAAGAAAAAAAAAATTTCAGTGAGAAGTTATTTACGATCATAGCTGTTCAATTGGCATGCCCACAGATGCCTTGCTTTGTATCTGTGAAGGTCAAACAGACTATCCTCGGCAAGTGTGGGAGAGTGTGTGTGTGTGGGGTGGGGTGGGGGGTGGGGGGGGGGTTGCAGCAATGCTTATCTGAAGTGAAAAAAATTAAGAATTCTCTAAAAATTATTCCTGCAATTTCATCACAAAATAATGCCCCAAAATTGGCTCTAGGTTTCTCTTCTTTTGTCATCTTTCCAGGCTAGAACTGTAGTTATGTTTAGTTTGCAGGCAGGATCATCCATATCCTCAGCATAGATTATGGCAATCGTAGCTTTGAAAACGACACAGAAGGAATAAACCCCACCAGAACAGCAATCAGCCACCTACAGTCAGTTCAGCATTTAACCGATAGCAGTACTTGGGACAAAACAACAGGGGAATCTTTATAATAATTGGTTAGTTCTGGAAGTTTTCTAAATTCCTAATCCTACTTTGCTTTTTGGATTCTCCAGTTGAGTGTTTGTTCCATAAATTGTGAACTTCTCTTTAGGCCTATGGTTTTAGGTTTTTATATAATAGAGCTATTTATTCTGAGCTTAGTGCTTCACATTTAAATTGCTATTCTCTTCTTCAATCATTGCAAAAAAATAGGGGGGAGAGTTTCACATAATTAATCCTATATTATGAGTACATTTTCTTCCTTCATATTCAGCTTTCAGTTAAGCTTTATATTTTCAGCAGTTTATGAATTTCATTAAAAATACAAAATCAACCAATGAACAAATAGACAAAAGCTTTCCAGTAACTGAAAATAGAAGAGCTATCAAAGTAAATATTATATATTAAATTCTAAAATTACATAAAACACTACTCCTAAAGATAAGGATAATAATAAAAAGATAAATAATACGACCATAATAATAATAAAAAGAATAACAACACAGAAAATAATCTTCATAATCATAACAACAATAGCCATCACAAGAGTGCGAATAAATACACTGATAACCACAATAGAACTGATGCCAGTGACATGGTATGCTCTGAAGCAATGAATGCACACGAAAAACAATATGTGTGCATGCAAAATTATTTCCTATGTTATGCTTGAGTGCGATAAATGGTTGTACAGTACTAATTTTACTATTATTATATGGCACAAACAAATAAACATGAGGCCATGGGAATAAGCAGAGCAGACATCACAGATCTTATAAAGAACTGGACAGATCGAGTCCTCCATGGCAGCAGCAAATGTGTCAGACATGAGCTGACCATGCAAGTACAATGAACTGTGAACTACGGCAAAAATATCTAGAACACAATCAATACTCAAGACAGTGAGCGTCAACTGAAAATGTGACATAGGCAATTAAATAATTAAACTTTCCAGCAGTCTTATAATTTGACACAAAAGAAAAACAACTGTTTTTCTGTATCCCTAGTAAAAAGGAAATATTTCTATGCAATGCCATTGATTATCAAAGAAAGTGTTTTTGAAAATTAATAGGTTGAACTATCTGAATTGTTCTTCAACAAAAGCTTTGAAAGTGATCAGACTTAAAATTTCATGAACTCAATAAAGGAAGAGATATAATGGTATGTCTTCTCTCTATCGCCCTGATATACTCAAAACAATTTGTGAAAAAGGCAAATCTTTTAGCAAGACCAGTAAAAAATCCACAAAAACAAAACAAAAGATGCAAGAAAGGCACAAATAGGCTGAAAAAAAACCCAGCTCATCAAATTTTTCATAAGCACAAAAATTTGAAATATCCTCCAAACTGTGACAGAATCAAGAAACAGATTTCTTCATTACCACAATTTCAAGTTCCGGAGAGCTGACCTGACAACAAACAGTTCTTCATTATAAGTTGGAGATTCAAGTCAATAGAAGGTAGGCTTATTTTTTTTTAAGTTCTGTGGTCTCCGCCTAAGAACACCCAAAGTTGTAACCAAATCTGCTTAACAGCCCACTTTTATCATGAGACAGAATTTTTTCCCCAAAAAGGACAGACCTAAGAACCAATTCTAAAAATAAAAATCTGCCAAATAACGCTGTGTCAGCTGAAGGAAGTTAAGGCAGTTTGTGTAGTTTCATGCGTCTTATTTTTCTATAATAACGTTGAGAAAACAAAGAGGCCTTGTGAATCTCAGGAAATGCAGGCTGTACTGTGGCAAAATTCACTAAAATATGGTGGGAGATGTTTATGTATGGAGGTTGGGGGCAAGGCAGAATAAAAAAGGAGAATTTCATGTCTTCCCTTTACATTTTTATTTCACGCATAGCACTGCCCACTTACAAGAACATCAGTCCCTTGATAGATGTAGTGAGATAAAGGAAAAGCAATATTTCAATTATATAGCCCACAAATTTTTATTGAGGTGAAGGAAATGGGTGTTGAGCTGGATGTGGTGGTGGTGGTGGGGGTGTAAATTTCAAACAAAAAATAACAAAGCTCAGGATACATCCCCATTGTTCCTATCACTCCTTTCAGGATTTCCATAATACAAATGCTTGCTCCCAACATGCTGATGATTATGAAAGATGTGCTACTTCAATGATGTGAAACGTATTTCAATAAATTTGATGAAATTTTATTATGGCCTTTTAGAATTGGATAGCCATAATGACAAAAGTAACATTTCATTACTAAACAAAACCATGGGAGATAAGATTTACAGAACAAAAAACTAGTCAGCATTTGTTGTCATGACTGTCTTTTCCAGTTTCATTTTCTTTTCCTGGAGATTATTTCTTTTTCTCTTTTTTTGTGCGCCTGTTTATGTGTGCACTATTCAGGTGCTCTGTTGAGTCATTGTCTTTCTTCCTCAAATAAACAAGTACACAAACACAAATGTACATGCACATTGCACATGTATTTACACATGCACATACACATGCCCACGCACATACTCACACACACACACACACACACACACACACACACACACACACATACAAAAACAAACACACATACATAATATAACTATATGGATACAATGACAAGAGTGTTTGTTGATCACTATACACTGTCTGTCTCTCATACACTCATTTAAACATGCGCAAAGACAAAAAAAAGCCTACGTACAACATGACAAAATTGCTTTATGATTTTTTAAAAATTGAAGTAAAAAATTCAAATGCAACATTATGCTTGGGTTGAAAGCCCTTTCTTTAAAGCATATAAAGTAAAAGAAAGTAACAATAAAATAAAGCAAGCCTAATGATCAAATTAACTACTATTGCTGACCTAAGTCTGCCAGAAGTAATGTATGTAGTCTATGAATTTTGCAAAACAAATGGGAAAAATAAGTACAAGTACCAAACTATATTTTATATAAAACCTCTGCCCATCAACTAACAAAGAGTCAATAGCTATTTTTCGGGAAGCCAAACTAAAGTTAAAAAGTCATATTTCTTTCACACTTCTATTACTTGGAATAACTCTGTTGAAGTACTCTTAACTTATTTTTTAGACATTCTTTTGACAGAATCACTTCTTGAACACTTATACTGTAAAGGCACAACCGGAAAAGTAAGCAATAGTCACACAACACACCAAAACAGAAGGGAATGCCAACTGAGCAAAGCAAGTATTCCTTAAAAATGCATGTTTTTATCAAAGTAGAAGATAGCAAACCTTTGTCAAATAAGAAAGAAAAAAAGTCTGATCTTGAGATCTTAACATGAATGCTACAGTTGTGCACAAGAAGGCTGCTTCATTCAAAACTTAGTATAAATACAAATGACTACCAAAATTCACAATGAAATGCAAAATGCTCAATAATCTGCCGAGCACTTCCATAAAATACAAAATGTAGTTAGTGCTCACCGGAGACTCCGCAAGCTGGAAGTAGTTTTTAAGAAGAAAATATGTCCCAGAATTAGCCTACTACATCCACTCAAATTCAAAAGAAAAGAAACAAAGAAGACAGGAAAGTAGGTGCCAGATATAAAAATTGTTTTTTGTAATGGGGTTAGCAAACTCAAAAGACATTGAGACAATATAGCTCTGTCCTCCTTTGAACACCGCTTATTATATTATGTTAAAACATTCTGTAGTAGAAGATTCCATACACCCAACGTTCATAAACTGTTGTGCAGATAACTCTGTGTCTCCACAGAAAGATCCAACTCATATTCTCTTTCAGCCTCTCTGGGAAATTCCAGAGGAGAAGTTGAGAAAATATAAAATTGTAAATCGTGTATGAATTTATCCTCCCTGATTCGTCTGATGATATTTTGAGTAGCCTGAAAATTAACTGTAGAATGCAAAATCCCCACAACCTCAATCAATTTTGAAAATCATGAATACCGGTATTATATTCTGACTACTCTTCAACTTTGAGAGCAAGTACCAGACATAATATTACAAAGATTTACCCCCCCAAAAAAGGTAAAAGAAGGGCACAAATCTCCTAATTCATTATTTCATTAACCAAAAATATATAACTTGTGCAAGAAAATACGGTAGAAAATCAAGGTTAAAGAGAAGTTTAAATTTCACAGTGCGAGAAAAACTATAGACAGAGTCAAACAGAGAAAGGGGAAGTTATATTTGATACCACCTTTACCTCCTAGCACATCATTTTAACGCATCAAAAAGAGATTTGACTCACAATTCCTATTCAGACTCGCAACATTATATTTCTTTTTAATTTATTACATCAAATAAATAGAATGGGTAGTGCTTTCCCAATTGACATACATACACAGAGCAGCCTATTATAAATTCTTTTCATGTAAATGGCAAGGAAGTGATAATGATACTGAATTTGAAATGAAACAGGCATCTTTCTCTGAACTTTGTATTGATTGAGGAAATGTAACTTTGTTCCTTGTCAATTTTTCCCAACGGAGACCTGCGAGAATTAACATGACACAGTACACAGTGCTGTCAATGCACTGTGACAAGAATCGCCTATTACTTTCTTCTTTGAGAAAACACAGTACCAAGTAATGAGGACAAAATATGAACTATACTTTCTCCATAAAGTACATTTGCTTCTAATTTCAAGGCAGAACAAAGCTCAATATTAGGTGTCTGAACCATATCAAATTGAATACTGAACACTTCCTTTATTGGGCAGTTTTTCCTAAGCTCCTCATGAATGAACAATAAACTCTTCCGACGTTGAAAATGGTAGTTCCCTCACACAGCACACTCAGTGTAAACTATGGAAAAAAATATGTGGAGGGGCGACAGAAAAGAGATCCCATTACCTCAGCTTCTTGGTTTGACGATTTGCCTTTGTCTTTCTTTTTGTCTTTAGTCTTGCCCATTGTCTTGGTTGCTTCTGCAGCCACCGAGGCTATAGAACGGAAGTCCAGAAAAAGTATATGAGTAACATTTCAGTTCTTCAAATGGTGCAACAAAGGTAAAATGAAATCAAAACAACGACAAACGAAGAAAACACAAAATACCTTGGTTTTGTTGGAGTTAACACTCAAACTACAGCAAATGATAGTAAAATTACTGGATACTACGACAATTATAGTATATAATAATAATACAAAAACTAGTCATTATCAGTAGGTTTAGCTTCCAATAATTTGGGTCTCCTGAACTTATACACAAAGCATTGTGAGTTTTTCTAACTGAGAAAACACTTTCAACATGGAATGAAATCAAAATCAGCCATTGAAAGATGCAAAGAGAATATATTTAATCAATATGTTATCAAATAATCAAGAATTTTTAAAGTATTGCTTCAAAACCAGTCTTAATATTCATCAAGACAGTACAAACAATATTGGCCATTTTTATAAGCAACATTTACAAATATGAAGAACAAAATTTATGAACATGTTACCAATACATGTAACTCCAAAGATAATTATATCCCCCTACAGATTTACAGATAGCAGAAAGACAAAAAAGTATAAAAATGTTTCTAATTTGGGGGAATTGGAAAATACAATTTTCTCACTGAATACAAAAGACCAGCACATCTTTTAAAAGGATTTATCTACTTTCTTTAAACTCATTAATATATTTCAAAAGAAATTGTTTTGCTTTACACCTACATGTGTTTTTTTCTGTTCCACATCTTGTAAATATGTATTTCTTTTACAATCTTTTCTATCATAGCAATGAAATCATAAAACTAAAACGAGGAGACGAACACTCTGTAGTGTCTCTCCCCCTATTCCCCCATCCTTTTTTACCCACGCCCCTTTCCCAACCATCTTAACCTCTCAGATGAGGAAAATGAAGTATTATCTGAGAATGACAGAAAAAAAATACAGCAATAATTTTTGGGCCATCAAGAGAGACTGAAACAATTTTCACACTTAATTTTGGACAAGAAACACAAGACAAAGTGTTAATATCTATGCTTGATTTGGCTTTTTTTTCTGCAGAGTATTTATTTGCAAGGGAGTGGGCGGAGGGAGGTGTATATATATATATGTATAAACACATTAGTTCAAAATTCAAAGACAAAAAGAATTACACAGCATGCAGAGTTATTATTTTTTTTTAAAAACACTACACACTACTTAGAGCATTAGCCTGGTTTCAACGCCACTTCAAAACATATTAATTTAGGATAGCAAAATAATCAGAAGACTTCAAAACAAGCAACGTCACTTGAAAAAAAAACAAATTTGCAGTAGAGAGAAGGCTTCAGTTTTGGTTTTTTTTATTTCAAAGAAGAGAGAAATAAAAAGGAGAAGCCTACACCAGGATGCAAGTTTCAAAGAAGGCTGTACAAAAAACTGAGATCAGAGAAAGAAAGGGGGGAGGGGGGAGGGAATGGGCAGAACATCCCATACTCAGAGAGTCAGCTTACTAAATAAATACATAAATACATTCACAACTTACTTTAAAAGGACATTGGACACATCAAATCACAATGACAACAGTGAAGACAATGAGGATAACAGTAGTGGTGATAAGGATGATGACGATGATGATGACGATGACGATGACGATGATGATGATTATGACAAAAGCGATGGCAACTACAGCTTGGAAACACCGACATCCTGAAACAAACTGACGATGGAAATAACAGAAACAGCACCAGCAATTTTTTTAAAAGTATCAAAGTACTGAAAGCAAGCTGACAGAATTAGGATATATGTGATGAATTTAAGTCCATTCAATGACTATCTGTGTGTCTGTGTCTGTGAAAGTGTGTGTGTGTGTGTGTGTGTGTGTGTGTGTGTGTGTGTGTGTGTGTGTGAGAGAGAGAGAGAGAGAGAGAGAGAGAGAGAGAGAGAGAGAGGGAGAGGGAGAGGGAGAGAAAGAAAGAAAGAGAGTGTCTGGGTGTGTGTTAACGAGTGCGCATGCATAATATGTATTTACCCTGCCCCATAACATTTTCTGTTGGGATCATCAATTGGTCATCTTATCTTATCAGAACTTTGTAACAATTGACTCTCTTTTATCCTAAGCCTTATATCTTCATGGGTGCTTCATGTCTCACAATATCACAAAAATAAATCATACGTCTGATTCCTTCATAAAAAAATAAAGGGAGGGGGTTATAAACTTAAAACACTGTAAAAGATTTCAAAGATGGCAATAGTTTGCTACTGGAGATACAACCTCCCACCTCCCCCCTCCACCCCCAAAAAAATCCCCCAAAAAACATTCCCAAAATTTTCGGCAGTGACATAAGAGTACTAATATTATTATATTTCATATTTGATGCCTTTGTTTGAAGGGAGAAGCATGTCATAACTTGTATTCAAAGGACAGGGACAAAGATTGTTCTCAAAGAACCTCTGTTCAAAAAACGCTACAGAACAATAATCAGCTTCAGCAGTGACAGCTAATATATTGTGAGCGGACTGTTGAAGACATTCTTATTTTTTTAAAGATATAATAATAACAATAATTATTAATTAAATTTGACAAAAGTCTGTCCATCAATGTCTGGCAATGACCATACTACAGAAAAGAGTTTTAAGGACGTATTTTTCTTTAATCTGACAGATCCGCATGAGAAATAGATCATCATAGAAGAAAGGGTGTAGGCCTAAGTATTGAGAAGAAAAAAAAAGTCACACCTACGCTGGACTTGTAACGGTTACGATTGAACCCTACCAGGAGATGAGTTGCGCCCTGGTATAGGTACTGTTACGATGGATTATACTTATATATATATATTACAGAAAGAAGAGCACACCTTACTGGAACAAGAAAGTTTTCTAAAATGACAATCAGATTGTTTTGAACCCTTTGACAACTCAGGGATGGGTTCATTTTGATCTGTATATATTGGGATCAACTGAACCATTTAATAACGGGCAACATAAAATAAACATAAGAGAATGCTATTACATAAGAAGCAGACGTCTAGTCAGTAGCCAAGAAATGGACACTGTGGCCTTTGAAAATAACATTTATATAATATATCATCAATGTCCTAATTTAACACACATGCAACTTAGCAGTTTTGAAATATCACTGCCTTACATCTATCTATGATTTGGTTCTTTCAATACCATGACAATGAAGGCCTCATCACACAATGACAATGCGAGTTCTATACTTTCAACATCACCATTAACCTTGAAACATACCAATTCATGGTGCCACGATGCTAATCCGCGATATGGTAAAAAAAAGGGCCAATGGAGTGAGATAAACTGCCTTTCAAAAACGACTGAAATTGTGACCAACGCAGCCATGGCATCCAAGGACAAGGAGAAATTACAGTGAATGAGAAGGCCTCATGACAGACTACAATCCTCTGCTGTCCTTTGCTCTCATACACTGCCAAATGTTTGCCAATGTTGAAGCAATTTCTAGCCGTGTATCTTTGATAGTTAACAGGGCGATGAACAAGAAGATCATGCATAATGGCAAAAAAATGTTGAAAGGAGGAAAGTGAAAGCTTCTTCTCAGATATACGAGATTTCGCCATGGGAAGATGCTTTTGTCCTGGGGACAATTTGAAATTAAAAGGCATTACAATTTTCAGTGCATGCTCCTAGAAAAGGTACCGAACCTTGGTTTTTTTTTAGATCATGGAACTGAATTACTCAGCAATGAGAAGAGAGTGTTTTGCCTCATAAAAGCCTGCAACATTGCTCGTCTCAGTGCCAAGGCCGAATGAGACAGAAAATTAGAATAAACCTTGTAATGAAGGAAGTCAGCTAAAAGTTTTCAGAAAACAGAATGGAAACAAAATTATAATCTACCACCATAACATTCACACAGTACAGATGGGAACAAAAAAAGTATGGAGAATAACTTGGTTGCGACACCCCATCTAAATCTAGTAAGTCCAGAAATCAATCCGACGTCAACATGCACTTCATAATTTGTACAGAAGGCATGCCAAAGCCACATAGCCATGCTATTGCCTCTACCAGTTTCAAGGCTCTCAAATAAAGATAACAATTTGAATTTCCAACTTAACATAATATGTACACATCAGGTAGATAGCATGGGGTAGTTAAAATTTACTAGACTGATAGTACATAATGTATGAACGAACACATACTATGACACCCATGCAACAAGGACTGCTAACGCACAAGATTTTGCTATAAGCTATCATAAACTTTCCTGCATTTACAGAGGTAAAAAAAACAAAATTTAAGCACAACTGGGTCATCACATAACTACCCATAAACCAGTACTGTAGGCATGCAAGTCAATGCTACACACAGGAACTATTCAGGCTTATGACAATATGTGGGGCTCATGAAGAAACATTATGCAAATCACAACGCGGTTGAGTATGAGCAGTTGTATTTTCCTTTTACCAGATGTGACGAGTTTTATAGCAGCTTTGAAAGCCACAGAACCTTGGTAGCCAGATAGGGAATATCATAAAGTGTTAGATATTCAGACAAAGGAAACAAGGTAATACATCATGCTGCAAATGGGCAAGAAAAGTTGCAAGAAACAGAAGTCATAGAAGACAACAGAAACAAAGTCATCTTTAGAGACTAAATACAGATTTTCTGGTGCACGTCTTCTAAAAGGTGCTCAACTATTGTATCTCACACTGTATGCACAAAGAAGAGCCTTGATAGTTCAGCACCTGAATGCTGATATATATATATATATATAAAATGTGCTTTATGGGTTAGAGACAAAAGTACAGTGCAAGATGCAATGAACGAAAGAATCACAAAAGTCTTGTTCCGGGTGTAATTTTAAAAATCTTACTCCTTAAGAAAATGATATCCTTTTTTTTGTATTGAAAGTCTTCGAACAACACTCCAGTGAACCAGTTGACCTGACATGGTCTCAAAGACATCAACAAAACAGACACAGGCTAAATTTGCTCCAACACAATCACCTTCCCATGACAGACAATGCCCAAGGCAATATAAATTCAGTTGTGTTTTGCCTTACTCAAATCTTTGTATTTTTGTATTTACATTATCAAGATCAGTGGTAAAAACCCTAAGGACTACTGCGGAGAATTGAAACAAAACAGAATTCACCTTTCATAAAGAAAATGAAAAGAATTGATTAATTTCAAAATGTATCAGCTCCCATGGTGAATAATTCCTTCCAGGATCAGACTAGATAAACTCTTCCATCACATACAGTCATTTTGAGCTATGATAGCCTAAAGGAAGCAAGTATTGAGGCCTGGAATCGACACACAGCTGTCTTTGGGAAGACTATAAAAGAAGATGTCCTTTTTAAAAATGCAGTTTTGACAACAAAATGCCCATGAATAGTTATCACAATATCTTTGTTGTATTTGTCAACAACTAAGAGTATTGCTGATATATCTCCTAAAGCGTGAACTTCTTGTGACACTGACATCATTTATGACAAGCCATTTACAGAGGGAAAAAAACTTGCTACATGCACATCTAAAAATAACATCTATATTTTCAGTAATTCATTACGAAAGTTTCCAGAAAGCAGATATTACATTATAATATGCCAAACATGCAGAGGAAACTAGATATGACAGGCAGTAGATAATATGTGTACATGATACACACCCTCTGCCAGTAGAAAAGTTTGGCACATATGTAAAGATCACACACACATGCTACCTCTCTGCCTGAAGAATCCTCATTCTATAGTCATGCAATGGGAGACTTGGTTAAAACTGCCTCTGCCTACAATATTGTATATTATAGCTTCCACTTACAGTAATAAACATCATTATTATTTTCAGCGTTGCAGCCAAATAAGTGCCAGGCTAGTATCAAAGCTCATGCAGCTTGAACAAACAATTTTTTATTGGATGCACATGATGATAATTGTATTTTCCTTTAGTAAAACTTTCCCAGTTAAAAAACTCAAACAACATAGAGATCTGTTTTTGCTTATATCATGATTTTAGTTACACGTCCACCAACATACTCGTCCGAGCCTTTTGGACTCCACATTGACTGCCACTGCAACAAAGTTGGTTGGCACAGTTCGTTTTAGAGGCCCATCCTTCCCCAAGAGAGACCATCAGCACTAACGAGTGTACATAAATGTACAGCCATGCGCTCAAAGCCCAGTATAAAGCTCATAATGCAAAAAGTTGACTTTCACTGCAAGGCCCTAATTGAGAACTGCATCACGCTAAAATCACTCATTGCACTGTACAGCTACGTAGAAAAAAACAACAGGTGCGGCACACACAGAGTATGTGTTGCGTAAAAGTGGAAGACCGAATAAATAGGATCATATTTCATATTATCAATCGACGATAATAATCATATCATCCAATGCATGGCCATACAGAAAGAGCACACTAGACGTGTGGTGCATTACAGCCCATGCCACACCAGTGCTGTCTCACGGCACACTCACCACTCGACATTCTGCCAGTACCTGCATTGGGATTTGTCTGCTGTGCTGCAGAGTTCGACAACAGGGCAAATCAATAAAAAAGAAAAGGAAAAAAAAAAACAAATGGACCAAGCAAGAATAATCCCTTCATGTGATATCCTTCGTATGACCACAACTTATAACTTCAAGCCATATGTGTGACTCATATCATATTGGGCAAAAACTTGACTTCAATTAAATCTAAAATAGGAACATGGACAGATACTATCATCGCTCATAATTGTACAAATAGCTTAAAATACTTTAGGGGAAAAGTAAATACTCATCTGCGTGACTATGGGTAAAAGAAAGACAAGACAAGGAGAAATAACATACTAAAGTAAAAAAAGGACAAGAAAAAAGTAGAAGAAACTGCAACCTCCATCCTTCAACCACACACACTATGACTACAATTGCAATGTTGCGCCACATTTGACCCATGTAGAGTTGAGTTGCAGTACACTAACCCATCAAGACAGCACCACCAATTGGCCTAGATTCAGTTGATGACAAAAGCAATATGAGAAAGGAAGTAGAAGGAAAAGACCAATCAAGAACCATCACTTACAACATACAAATTAAGTAGGGCCAAATAAAATTGGATTTCCACATAAAAGAAGAAAGAGTGTGGACATCAAATGTTGGAAACATGGAATGATACAATGAAGGAGCATGACTGAAAAAGACAGTGAAAAAGAAGCAACACTAAAAGAATAACATTAACCATTAAAACAAAGGCCTCCGTAAAACAAAACAGCCAATATAGGCTATAACTATTAGATGTTCCAGTTTCATGTAAAATAGAAGCAATATTAAGAAGAGAAAAAAAATAACCCCCTACCAAAAAAATGCACATAGAGAAATTGGCAGCATAAAGTAAACCATTGATCTGTTGTACTGAAGGAATCCCAAACACAAGAGAACAAAAATATTAGATAATCTGAGAGTGAAAAAGACAATATGACTAAAATGAAAGGGTACCAAATACACTGTATTATTACATAAAAGTTGAGAGACCAAGATGAGGAGTAGAACAGACGAAGCAACATTATACCTTATAGAGGTAAATAGATATTGTAGAATTGTAGAATGAGGGATAATCTAATCATCAAAAAGTCCTGAAGCCAACCAAAACTAGCTGGAAGTTACATAGGTGTCAGGGAAAAGAAAATCCTTCCATTTAGAAAAACAGAATAAAATGTTGGTACTTTGTGAACCAAGTGAAATTTTCAGCCAAAATGTCTGAAATTGTAACGTTATAGGTACTCAAAAACCTATTGAACATAACATAAAGCTACTTTACTCATTGAATTCTTGGATAAATATGGATTTGCTCGCCATAAAGAAAATAATAAAAGGGCAAACTGCAGAATTGGTGTGAATCAACAGAAGCTTTCTCAAGGTTTAAATATTCCAAGCCATGGCTTTTTCAGCAATTTCATAACAATTGAACAACAAAGAGGTTTCAATGGCTGTGCTATGATTTAATTGATTGGAAAAGACTGCTTTTTCAAGCACACTTAGAATTAACGAAAAGGTTATTATGAATGGCTGCACGACAATTTTAGGAAAATTCAGAGATTTTTTTAAAAGAAGCCAATAGCCTAAAAGAGCTGAAGTATTACGCAGACGCTATGCAGACACTGTTCAGAGATTAAAGGAAGATAATAAGGCTAGAAAAACAAGGAAAGGTCTTTCTCAAATGATATATAAAATGTTCACCTATAGTTAAATTATCAATTACCTTCATCTGGACTATCAGCATGTATAAAAATGTCTTTGGAAATCCAATAAAAAATTAATATTATTTCCACTTTGCTCTGCACAACAACCAGAAGTCTCAAACTTATTTGAAATTTCTTCTGAAAATTCATATAATATAGTATAATATTCTGTTTAAGAATTAAGTTGTTGGAGAAAGAAAACAGAACCATCACCATAAAAATGTATTCTAAAACATCAGGTGAGAAAGAAAATGTACGGGAAGTTCAAGAGTTTGCCATTCAGAAGAAAGCCTCAGAGGGAGATAAAATTGTGAAGGATTTTTGAAAGTCCCAGCAATTTACAAAGAACAAATTGGTAACCTTTAAATTTTGACAAGTTCATAACACTGTTGCTTTTCTTTTTTAATTTCACAAACCCAAAGTAAAATGAAGAAAAAAAATTGTTGAAGACCTGTACAAAACTGTTATATCACTATAGCAAAATTAAAAATGCTTTCAATAATCCTTCTCAGTGGTCTGCTACTGAGTAATAGAAAGAGATGAAATAAAGACAAGAAATAACCTCCACGGGTCCCCCTGGTCTCTGGTTGTTAAAAAAAGTAATTAACCAAAAGCATGAAATCAAATACAAAACAAAATGTTACCACGAATTTCAAAAGATAATATGTTCTAATAGCTGATGACCAGCACCTACTTCTAGAAGTTTCTTTCTTAAAATCAGAACACAAAGAACATGACCAGTATGCACAAATGTACAAACAAAGCAAACACTGTATTAATAGTTTTGACTGGTGACTTCAAAATCTACTTTTAAAACTTATTCTCATCAAGCTGCAGAACAAAAATCATATTTCAAGAAATATATAAATAAACTGTTTGACGGAGTAACCTATTCTCATTTGTGAAAAAAGTGCTTCCCAATTCTCTACAGAACCTTCAGCTGTTTAGTATGCATTAAGTGATCAGCTTTCTAAATAGGCTTTCACTTTTCACACACCATCATTTTGAACAACAAAAACTGAGGCAATTTCACAAGTTGGACCTGCAAGTCAAAATGTGTCTGACTGCAGAGGGAAAAATAAATGAAATATTCATCTGGAAGCCCAGTCCAACAATGGAAAGTGAACAGAGTTGTACAAAAAATTATGCTATTGCATGCGCTGTAATTCACTGTATAAAAAAATGTTAGCTCAATTAAAAATGATTTTAGTCTACGTAGTATGGAATATCAAATTTTTAAAAGTTTGTGAAAATATATTATATCATACAACTTGATTACACAATTTCTAATAGTTTGAGAAGCTTGTTTGCCAACTATAGACAATAGTGCTGCATGGTCCTAAATGATTATCTTTTTGTTTTCGTAAAGTTCAGTAAAGCAGATAAACATATGCAACAGAGCATATGTCCACAAAAGAAATAAATGAATACCTGTTGTATCTTAACAGTGCATTAAAACCTCTTTACCATTTGAAAGCTAGAGGTTCTGACTGGTACTTCCACAACTCCCACCCCTTTTCATTCATTAGTTTCTATAATAAATCCATGAACGAGGCTTTCTCCTTTTCATATCAGTGGCATCGGTCATAACTGAACTGACACCATTTTTACAAGACATGCATAAAATGTTAACCACTTTTATTTACTTCTAAAACATGCCTAGATTCAACATAAATCAGGCAGGTGTGATGTAGCTTTTCTCCCACATAGTGGGCATGAATCAAACTGGGTCAAAAAGCTTTCCGAGCTATGATCTGCACAGCACAGAAATTTCAACTGGAATTTTCAAGCATCTCAGTCCGTCTGAAGTGTCAATGGCTTAGGAGGGTTAAGTTAAAAAGCCAAGCAAAGTTCAACAACAAAAAAAAAGAAAAAAAAGGTCATGGTTCTTGTCTTACCCCACAATGCTATAGATATGTAAGTAAAGAAATAACGTTTTTCAATTACAGCTCATCTCACACAAAAGTTGAAAGAGCAACTATGAAGTAGGGCATTTGTGATTCATGCACAGACTTAAAGATGGGCATAGTTTTGATGGTTTGAAAGTATAAATATTAAAGGACATTGAAGAATTTTACTGGTGACATGTTACTATCCTTTCAGTTTGTAAAGATAAGAGAGGCACACATCAAGACCAAAGACTGATGAATCCTTAAATAGGAGGAATGTCAATAGAGGAAAGCATGGAGAAATGATAGCAGCTCACTGACAAGTATGCCTTTTTCATAACATTAGCTTTTTCTGAATATCCAACTCTAGAAAAAAATGCTAATTAATTACCCACTATCTACTTAGTTTTGGCGTCTAATACATTATAATTCATAGTTTTTAAAAAGGCACATCAAAGATACTACTCTATTTACATTTATATTAATTAAGAAAATATTATGTCAGTATAAAAACGGCCTATGTTGGAGATCGAAGACAATTGTAACCCTTTGTTCATTTTAAGCACCATCAAAGGAACAGTTCTAAACTGAGTCAGGATGGATAACCAAAATAAGCAACTGAAAGTTAGCAAAATGTATCAAGACTGAGACTGAATGCATGGTTGCTTCCAACCATGCATATTTATTTCTTTAGCCACAAACCTACAGTTACATGTACTAAAAAAAAAAAAAACAAAAAACAAATCTAGAGCTAGTGGACTGCATCAACTACTACATTTTTGCCACATTTAAGAAACCTGGCAACCTGCACTGTTGCTAATGACCAGTTATGGAATATTTTTCATGATTAAACCTTTCAGTATTCCCAAATAAATAAAGTATCCATCTTCTTTACTGTATCAAATTCAAAATTGTCTTAAAATTTAACTAAGGATTAGCAGTGGTATCCTTCAAAGTTTAAAAAAAAATGCAACAAGAGGTTGCATTCTCTTTGGAGCTCTCCTGATGGCGAGCTCTGAGGTAAAATGTGACTACATGCCTAATGGAAATTCAACATGTACTGCATCACCTACATGTGGAATAGGCAAAAATTCCCAAGCCACATACCTCAGTCCATCAAAATGTTGACATATTCCTACTAAGCGAACTGAAAAAGTGTTCAGATTAACTGAAGTCCTCAAGAAAGGCACCCCCCTCTCCTCCAAGCTCAGTCAGAGTTGATAGTGTAGAGGCATTAACGGTCAATGCCCAAAGGGGAGAACAGACATAACTGCTTTCCATCCATTAAGCTTTTCTGATGACTTTAAACAAAAATGATACAGCCAGGAAAAAGGACACTACGTGGTACAGCCCAAAAAACAAGGAAAATCTCAGAATGGATCCATATTCCTTTCACAAGAGGTCTCAACTGAACATTTATATTAGTTTTAAATCTCAAGAACTAGAAGTTTTCGAATCATGGAGCCCAAGAGTCAACAGATCAACCTCACTGAAAGCTTTCTACATTAAAATAAATGTATGATTATCAGAAAATTGGACCTGACCTCAGTACTAGAAGTTTAGTATCAACACTTCTCCATGGCTCAACATCCTCACATTTTAATGTTGTTTTATCATAACAAACACAACAGGAGAAAACATGTCCATTGCCGTTTGTTACTAACATAGTTCATGGCTATATAAGAACTTTTTTTGAGTGCACCAACATTTCTCCAATACAGACTATCTCAGAGAAAAACCAAAGCAAGAAATGAGTTATGCACAAGAACTGTCAACATCAAAAGAGAACTGTCATTGGCTATCTCAAGATTTTCACATTTCTCAGCCTGACACATTTTTAAGAAGTAAACGTCAGACTGGCGCTCATATGACCTTATGCAGTTGTGAACGTCGTAAAAACTCTACTAAAACAAACAAACGTCAAAGTGTAAACAGAAAATAGAACCACTTCAAACAATGAAAGCACGTAAAAAACAACAAAAGAGCATGACTGCCCATAGAATTCTGACAAAGTTGAAAAACCACAGAAATCAGACTCGCGTCAATGTTTTTAATGAAATATCAGAATATATCAAAATGGTATCTGATCAGAGACGAAAAAAGAAGATCAGACATTCAACACAATACTTGGAAGCTCTAGATATTAAAGAAAACCAATTAAAACTCACCTCTTTTACCACCACCTCGAGTATCTTCTTTGTCTTTCTTCACCGTTTTGGTCTCTTCTTTTGCATCTCTTCCTTTCACATCCTATATAATAATATGGTAGGCAAAATATAAAAATCAGCACAATACCTAAGCATCCCAAGCTGTCAAGCTGTTCATTCTTTCAAGAAAACCCAGATAAAGAAAACAGTTATTACAAGTAACATTTTCCCTCTTCACCATTTTCCTCTCACTCTGTTTTCACTTTTAAGAAAAAAAAGAAATTTCATTGAAGCTGGAAGAGACATAAATGTACACAAACAATTTAGAAAACTTCAGGGGGATAACACATCGAAGAAATGTTTTGGAATCTGCACCAACAAAATACAGTGGAGTCTACTTAAACCAAAAGACGTACGAGTGTTCTGTTTACCCATGTAAAAAAAATATCTCAAGTGATCAGACAGTTCTTTTTTTTAAAGTAGCTAGGGTGTCTTAACCTTTCCAAACACATGACCCACTTCTGTTTTCTAATGCTTCTCTAAGATCATTTTCTTTTACTACACGGGTGGAAAACTTGATTCCCCACTCAGTACATCTTGTTGAGAGGTAATATTTCAGGAAGGATAGGAAAAGTATTTCTAACCTCACTGAGATTTGAACCTTAGCATTTATCCATGTTTGAAAAAAATACGAAATGTACTTTAAAAGCACTATTGCATGACAGTGCAATTTTGCTCACTACAAAAAGATTTCTTTAAGTCCATCAACCAATAATATCATGTTATAAGAACGGTAAAAATTATCAGAAACTGCCACCTATTGTAGAGTAGAAAAGTGGTTGTCTCGTATAAGTGGATATCATGAATAGTGTCATTATAGCATTTTAAAATATTTTTTTTTAATGAAGGGGGAAGTGTTCGCTTAGACAGGTGATTTCTTTCGGACAGGTGGCCGTTTGAGCAAGTTCTATTTTTCTTAAGCATGACACCCAGTGACGCAGTACCTTCTTCTTTGCTGATGGCTTCTGTTTCGTTTTGTCCTGTGTGGTCATGCTCCTGACACTGCCAGGTCTGTCTTTGGACTCAGCCCGACGACTTGGTGGGGGCTGTTCATAAATATGCAAACATTTTAAAAACATTCCATTTTACAATCATTTGACAATAAACTTGTTTCATTTCCCCTTCTGCAAAAAAATAAATGTCAATTTTTCTAGCATGCTAGACAAGGAATAAGCTGAGGTAGAAAACCAACCCTTCCCCTACAAAAACATCTCATTATCCCACAGAAGACAAAATACAATACAAAAATCATCAACTTATCTTTGCACCAACTTTGACAATTCAACATCACACTTGGACACTGACACAGCCTCAAGAATGCAAAATGAAAAAATGAGAAATTAGATGCTGAATGAAGACAAATCATTAACAAGACCAAACAAGACAAGATTTATAACACCAACATTATGGAAATTGCTGGAACCAAAGATATTCATTATCATAATCATTAACAAAGTCTGAAGTCATTTTGGGCACTTCACACATTCACAAGCATACCATCAGGCCTAAGTGTGGCAATAATACAAAATTTGACAGCAGCAAGGCCATTGGACAACTCAAAAAAGACAGAGCTCTACAAATTCAAGGAGACCCTGGCATTATGCAACATCCCATTAAGTGAAGTCTTACGACTAGCAACAAATAGACACCTCTTTCTTCCTATGACATCACCAAACGTTAAAAAAAAGGGGGTAAAAAAAATTATAATTTAAATTTCATTCTTCACACTGCCTCCTCTTATGAAAATAGGAATCTTTCTGTAATTACCAAAAAACCTTGTTGGTACGGTATTGGTCTATAACCAGGGAAGATTCCACTAAAAGCTGATGAAGTCTAAGCAGGCATGGAAATAAAGGTTGCAGTGAGTGAAAGAGAATACAATAAAACACATATTCTGAAAGAACTACACTGGCTGCTAATAAAAGAAAGGATCAAGTACAAAACTGCCGTTCTCTGTTTTAAATGTATAAATGATAGTGCACCCTTTTATCTTAAAACATTCCTGGAATTATATCATCCACCTAGAGCCCTTAGATCAGCCTCTGACAATCTCATTCTCTAAAACTCCAAAACAAAATTACAAAACATATGGCGAGCGTTCCTTTTTGTTCTTTGGTCCCCAGGTATGGAACGAACTCCCATATAAAATAAGATCTGCCCCAACAATTTCCATTTTCAAAAATCAGCTGAAGCATTTCTTATTCACAAAAGCATACCTGTCGTAATGATGTACTGTGATATATATATTATGCATGTGTTTGCCAGACTGTGAGACTGAAGAAATAGCATGTGAGAAAGAGAGAGAGAAAAGAGAGAGAGACAGAGAGAGAGACAGAGAGAGAGAGAGAGAGAGAGAGAGAGAAAGAGAAAGAGAAAGAGAGAGAGAGAATGGAAATGTTTTTCTATCTGTATAGAATGAATGTTTTAATGAATGTTTCTAGTTACTCACGTTTCAACTTTATTGTGACCGTTCGTGAATTTTTATTGCATTGTATATTTTTAGTGAACACATTTCCAACCTCACTGCGAGACTGTTTTTCTCATATAAATTTTTACACATATACATTTATATTATATATATAATACTTTGTTTTACGTACATGCATGTCGATTAATTTTTAAGATGTGATGTCTTTTTTGTTGTAATGTGCATTGAGCATTTTTTTAGTAAATGGAAATGCGCAGTATAAATGCTATTTATTATTATTATTATTAAATGATAATGGAAATTAAAATAATCAATAAAAAATCACAAAATGCAGAGTAATATGTCTTGGACAATTTTTACTTACAGATTTGTTTCTTTCTGGGGAGCCTCTGTCTGATATGAGCTTCCTTCTCTCAACCACTTCTTCATGGCTCAGGGGAAATCTGGACAATGCCTGAAGGAGGAAATACATTCTGAAGTAGATACAAAGATCTGGGACTTTAAAAAATGTACTATGAAGTCATGTATATTATCACTGAAAGTTTCAAATCTAGCAACTGAAGATTATTGGATATCAATATTTTTCTGTAAAACAAGAGGCTCATTTCATGCTAACCTATGAAATAATAATAAAAATAAAAATAATAATAATAATTATGATGATTATAATAATATTGATAATAATACTAATCACAATCATAATACTAATTATAATAATGATAATAATAATGGCAATAATTAAAACGTATAACCTCTGTGGTAAGAAAAGTCCACTTTCATGAGATAAATCCTAAGCTTTTCAACATTTTTTTTTTCAATTTGAAATCACTATTAGTTTTGTTGTAAAATCATGCATCCTGCAGTTTTGAGCTTTGTAATTTACAGCACTGAATGATATATCACTCTTTCGTGTTCTCCAATTCCTTTTAAGATATGAGGACTCCTACCTCAGAAATCTTGGCCACTCCCTTGTCACCGACTTTGTTGCTGGTAAGTGTAAGGGACATCAGGGTTCTGTTCATTCTCAACCCCTTTTGAACAGAAAAATTAGCAACAGGTTACAGTGCACAACTTTGGCAACAACAGTGTTCAAATTTCATATGAGAAGAGCTGTCTTCAATTTGTTTCTTCTCCTTTGCTTTCTACAAGAAGACAGTAGAATATACTGAAGATAAAAAAATCTACATAATATTATTGTTACAGGAGGCTGCATCGATCTGTAGTCAGAGCATAGGATAAATGCAATAATAATCAGCAATCAACACTATTAATATTGCCTGTTACCCATCTTGGTTTTGTTGCCATGGCACAAACAAGTTAAAATAAATTCTCACAATCAATTGTGTATTTGTCATTGAATAAAACATACCGAAACATTGCATGAAAATGCGATATGTCCTTAGGGAATTTCTCAGAGAATAAAAAAAACAGTACATATTTAGCAGCAAAACGTTCATCTAAAATGGAACCTCCAAAACCCATAGAACATTTGCCATCAACAGGTGGGTATGTGGGTAGGTGGGTGGGTGGGTGCGTAAGTATGTAGGTAGGTAGGAAGGTAGGTAGGTATGTTTGCCATTGTAAACCAAATTGTCCTTCAGGGATCAATAAAAGTGTAATTTATTTATAATTTAATTTTACATATCACTTACTCCTGCCAGGCTTTCTGCTCCAGGGTCCCCAATGTCATTGCCAGTGAGGTTCAATGACAAGAGCTTGGTGTTGGCAACCTTGGCTGTGCCGAGAGCTCGACCAAGGCCTGCTGATCCTTTGTCTGTGATCTTGCAATGGCGCAAGGACAAATTCTGAACTCTATACCAAAGATAAGAGGAAAACAGAATTAAGCCCTTAGGTTAAGAAACAAAATTTGTTCATGTGATAGCAAAAAAAACTTTGCATAATATGGACATTTTCTATGAGAAATAAAATATCATACTTTCACATAATGATTATTATGTAAGGGAAAATATTGGAACTTACATGAAAACCTAACATACAGGGCTATTCAACAGCTTCCTTTTCATTTATATTGGACAGGTTATCGTTTTAGGCAGAGCCATTATATAGAAAAAATGCAAGAAGAGAAAATGGAAAGTGGCCGTTTGTACAGGTGTTGTCTTCCACAAATGGTCATCTGGGCTGGTTCAACTGTATGTAACAAAATTGCAAAAATGTTAAAAATATCAGAAAGTCACTCACAGACTCTCCTCTCCAATAAGCTCAGCCCAATTTTCTTCTTTCACTGGGTTACCGTCCAGAAGCACATTCCTGTAATAAAGAACAAACAACGGCTGGGTAGGTATTTGGGTATCTGAATATAAGTTTTTCTTTGACAGCAGTCAGAAGAGCAAATATCCATTGATAGAAAAATCAGCCAACACAAATCTACAATCCAAAAAATTGTAACGCTAAAAAAGAAATTAGTGTTTGTTTGAAAAATGTTGTTGCATATAATAAGGTTCTTGAGATGCCGAGTAAGAAGATTTGTAATTTGATACCCACATTCTATACACACATCCATCTCTGATAAGACTAAACAGTGTGGGGCACAGCCTTGAAAATTCACAAAATAAGGAACTAAAAGGTTCTAATTAGGATTCCCACCTGGATCATCCACATTGCAGTTGAACACAATATCAATTGAGCATGCCCTCTGTATGTATGACATCTATATGTAACAACAATAACTGACAGTAAAACAGCCAACACAGCTGAACAGCTACTCTCATTTATAACTTGGATCTTTTGTTTACATTTTTCGTAAAACATCTTTGATAAATCCAGAACTAAAGAGCCCACCCATGAAAGAAAACAAAATAAAACCTCAAAGTAAATTCTCTGTTCAGATATTCTGCAGAAGCAAAGGACCTCTCATCACAAAAGGAATAAAGTAAGGAAAGCAGAAGATGATGCAATAGTCAGCACAAACTAATAGGAGATAGGAGAAGTTATATAAATATATACAATCACAACTGTCCATGACGGCCACCCAATGGTGTGGAGAAAAGTTGTTGCCTAGGACAGGTAGGTGAATAACTTGTGCAGTGTCACTATGAAAAAAAGGGAGGTGGTTATTTGTCCAGGCAATCGTTTTGGACAAATTACTTACTTGATATTTGTGCACTGTGGCAGAAACACTGCTAGTGTATGCAATGTATCCTCAGACAGGCCGGTATACCACAAACTGGCAGCAGGAGAGATCGAATACACACAAATTAGTTATGATCCCATTGCTAGGTTTTATATTAAACACTCATCTTTTTGTACTGAAGCATAAAAAACATTCTCGATTACGTTGATGCAGTATAGAAAAAGAAATCTTGCTCTTCAATATAACAGAATACATGATTCTTAGTAAAACTAAGCAAGAGCTTGCACTCAGCCACAAAATGTTTTCTAAAATTACATGACCTAACAAAGTTGGGTTTTTTTTTAATACCATAGCCAGCAAGGACATTATATCTTATCTGAAGAAGCTTTTATGGTACAAGTATCTACTGAACATTGAGACAACAAGTTGTACAAGAAAACTAGTAAGTGCAATTTTACTTGATGGTGTGAAGTCTTTCCAGTGTGGGCCAGCTCTGTTGAAAGTTGTCCATCATTGGAGTATCAATTTTCCAGCCTGAAACAAAGTATGAGGTAATTACAATGTTTGTAAATCTTCTTTAGCTGTTGTTAGATTTTCATTAAGACTCTTTATCTTGTCAATTTAAATCTCATCTTTAAAAATAACACTTTGAGGTTTAACACAAAATCTCTCTCTCTCTCTCTCTCTCTCTCTCTCTCTCTCTCTCTCTCTCTCTCTTTCTCTCTCTTACATTACACACACACACAAACACACAGAAAAGGATTAGAACATTGTACACATCAATCCAGCCTTACCTCTGATGAAAATCTCTGAGACCGAATCCCACTTGTCATTATTATCAAGCTCTACTTGAACAGAAGGTTTGAAATATTCAAACTTATCACGTGTTGAGTATGTTTTTGGTGGAGGTTCAATTGGCTCTGAAAAAAAAGAGAGTATTTTTCATATCAGATTTAACAGCTAAAATATATTTACAAGCTGTCCAGTAACCTGTTTTTCCATAACTAGAAAAAACTGAGTTAAAGTAAAGAATTGTAACATATTATCTTCTTAACACAGAAAACTCACCCTTGAAAAGGAAAAAAATTAAACTACTACTTACATCTAATTTAGGTTCTGAAACAGATGACATAAATAAACGGCTGAACAAAACCTGTAAACAGTAATTCAAATAAAGGCAAGCCATCGTCTTTAAATTTCGATATAAAAATTGAAGAGCACATAATTATTTATAGAACACAAAAGAAGACAGAAATATTAAGATTGCATTACAAAAAAGGTAGACATTATCAAATTGAGTTTCCTTTACAACTTTGGCAATTTTTCATAAATAAAAGAAAATATCTTTACGGATAGAAGGTTGTTATTCTTTGCATCAGCCATTGTGTCTACTTCCTAAACACTGTTGTGGAAACTGAAGGATTACAGTAGCACTGACCACTACTGACAGAAAACCTCTTAAGAACAGAATATAGAACACAAAAGATTGTCAAAGAACAAGTGCCCCCATTCCCCCGCGAAATAGTAAATTTATTTATGCAGCACTTTTCCACTCCCCCAAAAAAGAGTGCTCAATGTGCTTTACATGCTTTCAATACTGATCCTCTCTCTCTCTCTCTCTCTGTCTCTCCCTCTCCCTCTCCCTCTCCCTCTCTCTCTCTCTCTCTCTCTCTCTCTCTCTTCTCACTCCCCCTCTCTAGAATTTTACTAACACTATCCTGATCAAAATGTTAAGAACACTAAAAATTTGCCTCCGCAAAAAAATGCAGAACATAAATTTGTAAAGTCCACATTGGAACAGAGGGCCAGTTGTATCCAAAAATAAAACAAACAAATTGGCAACCTGCTAATAAAAATGCAGCCAACAACAGGATGTTATAGACATTCAACTTGCAGGCCAGCCACATCTCATACTTCTCACCTCCATCCTCATTCAGCTCAACTTCCGGCTCTGGTTCTGGAACAGGCTGCTTGTTCTTGTCTCCCTTCTTGTCTGGTTTTCCCTCGTTGCCCCCTGAAGCTGGCCCTGGAGGCTTAGGGCGAGTCACTACAGGAGGGATGACAGCCATTCCATTCTGCTTGCACAACTCATTAAAGTCTGTCAGGAAGTTTCCTATACATTTATAGGGCTCTGGAAAGAGAAATAATATGATATAAGTCCAGCAGTAGTTTTGCTTTAAGCCAAGCTAAGAAACAAATAAAAACAAAAATCAAGTTTGTACTGCTATTGTATTTGCTTTTAAAGATAAGAAGCATTTAACACACTTACACTGAGTTGACAATGTTACTACAGTTATTATGTTCACATTGTGATCTCTTACAATAATCTTACAAAATTAAGATTAAAAAAAACGTACTTCATACCTGAGGAGATGCTATCTAGATTCTGATGAGCGACATAATGCAACCCCCTTCCCCCTTCTCCTTTTCCTTTTTAAAAATTTTACCCTGCCAGTACGTACTCACTCATGATATTTAACCAAAGTTTTTCACTGTGAAAAGTAGACGGTGTGTCATATAAAGCATCCAAGATAATGGAATAAAGATAAGAGACGAAAAATATCGGCAAGTTGAATAAAAAGAAAATGATGCACTGAATTTTTCCTGATTCATCCTGAATACATTGTTTGCTATTCAAATGGGGGGAATCAACTCTCCTGAAACATATTAATGATTTTTCCTTATTTGAAATTCATCAAAGTGGTAAATGCCACACAAATACTGTCAAAGGCAATGAATAAGAAAACAACCTGGTGTCTTATTTGGGTTGTCATCCTCAACATGGGTGGCAGATGAGGGATTCTTGTCTTTGGACAAAGCTTTTTCCACCTTCTTGCCCATCCTGACCTTCTGTATTACACTGGATTAAAAAAACAAAACAAACGATAAACATCTAATTGCAATTTGCACACACCAACTTTATTATGCCCCCATCAACATAATTTTGATATTCAGGAGGCCAGCTGCTTCCACCTCATCAGTCAGCACTAACCCAAACAGAATGGAATACAAATTTCGGTAGAAACAGGGAGGTACAGTCGAACCTGACTTAACGGCCACCTGCGTAAGACGGAAACTTGTTTTAACAGAATCTCCCTGCTCGTTGATAAATTCCCCTTTAATTATCTGTGTATAAAACGGAAACTTGTCCAGTGCGGAAACGGAAAGAAATATCTGCTCCCTTCAGAGGGTTTTACCTGTCTAAGACGGAAATAAATGCTTTGCCTACTCAGTCCTGATTTGAAACAAAACTCACAAGTTTGGTTTAGCCGGCTCTAAACTTAACGCCATGCCGCCAGGCGAGGATGCAGAGTAGGGGTGCAAATTAGGGGGGAAGATGTTACCCCATCTATGTTTGGTCAGGGTAGTGTGTGTGTGAAATCTCACGAGTGCCAGGGAAAGTGCTCAAGCGGCACTCCAGCACGGAAACTTTCATTGGTAGCCAGAGGTCAGAGGTGTGAAATTATTTGAACCAATGCCTGCCGCCCTGATTGAACGGCCAGCCGAGAAAAGAGTTCTTCGAATCGTTGTTGCATGGCAGTGAGGGGTGGCAATGGTTGACTGTACTTATAACACCGATGGGTGGGGAAAAGGGTGGAAGCAAAGGAGATGTTCAAACTTTTCTGTTTTTAATAGGTCAATAAGTGGTCTCATAAAATACAAGCAATGCTGGCAATGGATAAGTAGGACTGACGCTTGTCATTATCAAAGAGGATAGCAATTGAGAGGTGTGAAGTTTTGACCACAGCTTGCCGACTGCACAAGTGACCCTTGATCCCACCTGCTGGGCCTCTGGAAACCCCTTCCATCTCCTCTTAAATTCCCCTGTCTAAGACAGAAAATGTCTTCTAAGACAATGTTTTACTGGCTCCCCTGCGATTCCGTCTTACACAGGTTCGACTGTACTCTATGAAGACGAAGTACTGTACTGCCGAATTGCAAATTGAACTCACAACAGCTGCATTCATTGGCAAAAAAATATATATATTCCTTTATGTATGTGGGCATCCCTTGAGTATCTCTCACTCTCTCTCTCTTTCTCTCTCTCCTCTAGAGAAACAAATACAGAGAATGAATATGAAATCATGCTACTTCTACACAGAGAAATGACCAAGCAAATACTAGTTGATAGCCAGAGTCCACAACTGTGACAAATAAATGCCGGCGATTTGGAAAGTAATTTGTCTATACTGTATTATTTTGTTGCATCGTATACTGGATTTCTTTTACAGGGCTCAGTTACATTCAAATTGTATTATAACAAAAACCAAAGAATTATCATTTAATATAAGAAGAAGAAGATGACACTTGACTTACTCAGTAGTAATTAGTAGTAATAGAATCTAGTTATAATGATTCCATTAAATTTAAAGGGTTAAAATTGACCGTCTACTCGTCCTACAAGACATACACTGGTTGTTTTGTTGTTTTTGTGGGTGAGTGTGTTTTGTTTCTTTGTTCTTTAATAGAGAGCGTTTTGAGTCGGTTTACAAGTAACATTAGATGATTAGTAACAATTTCCCCAATTTTTGGATTCGACGCAAGCCGATTCGGATTTCTAAGTGAAACAACCAAAGTTGGAACTATTAAGTCTAAATTTGATCTGAAAGTTCAATATAATTGTTACCAAAATATGTTCTTTAACCTTTAAAAGTAACCAAATCAAACCAGTAAACTAATCAGAAATAAAACCAATAGTGTAACTCTACCTAGCGGTCAGCCATGAATATCGTCGCCATTTGTAAACATGTAAACCCACTTGCTCAAAGGAGGATATGCAAACGCATAAAAGAAATCCGTATAATTTAAGAGCTACAGCTTCAAAATACTTTGTTTATTGAAAAGGAATTTTAGGAAAAAGACTTTTGTTGTAATTTTACTAACATAGCTACAATTCAAATAACTTTTTAAAGACTAATAATGAACTCAAAATTATTAATGCGCTGCGTATCGAGGCAAGAGTTTGACTTGACAACGATTTATATTTTAACAGTGGTTTCCCTTGAATAATCTGGCAGTCATCCACAGAGTTACCCCCTTTTAAACGTATACCAGAGACACTAAAATATATAATTAAATACACTCTCTGCGTATACCTGCGTATACATCTAGCCTATGCAGTCATCGCAGGTCGCAGAGCCCTTGGACTTGTCACGGACTGCGCTTGTTAACCGAGTTGGTATGGCAGACCCCGCTGGTTTCATAAGTACACATTTGCACATTAGGTATATTCGTTGGTTGAGCGGTGTGACTTTTCAAACTTGAAAAAAACCCCGAAGAGCTTGTGTCAGTGTCACTAGATCTAGACTAGATTTCTAGATATCTATAGACTCTAGGTTCGATTTAAATTAAGAAAAGCCTTAAGAAAAAACAAAAACAAAAAAAACATCAAGCCCCACTACGAGCCCTTACCAATACAAGTATCAGATTCTTCGATAGCTTTTAAATTTTAAATGTCTCTACCTGAATGTTTTTGGCGATATCAATTGTGTGTGTGTGTGTACCTGACTGGTTTGGCGATATCAATTGCGTGTTAGTGTGTGTGTGCGTTTGTGTGTGTGTGTGTGTTTTTATGTTGTGTGTGTAATGTTGTGTGTGTAATTACGTTTTCAGTGGTGGCGGTGGTGTGTGTGTGTGTGTGTGTGTGTGTGTGTGTGTGTGTATGTGTTTGTATGTATTTGTATGTGTGTGTGTGCATGTGTTTATGTTGTGTGTATG